GGAGCTGTTGCATTGTGGGAAATTGAAGTCAATGTCATGAGACAAATTATATGTGAGCTGCTGTGTAGAAAGTGAATTTGCTCTATAAACTTTCACCCAAATCACAATAATTTTTTTTTTAAAAAAAAAGGAATAGATTTACATTTATCAGCTAAAATTATAAGATACCCAGCACCATCTTAATTTCAGAGCCACAGGTTTTTTTTTTTTTTCTTAACTTTTTGTTGTGATTTCTTCCTTATGTTTACCACTTTCCCTCATCCTTTTTTCTTATCCTTTCCTGCTTTCTGAACTTTATCCCTGGGCAAATGCTGCCCTTTTGGTCTAACATGATTGACTGTTCTAAGTGTGTACCTCCCTGGTATTATATTGTTCACCTCTTAGGTCTATTACTTGACTGAAAGTTGAGCCAAGGGAGTGAGTTCAATTCCAAGCTTGGAGATGACTAAGGGCCATAGTCTTGAGGGTTCAACCAGTCTTTATCAGACTAGTAAACCTGGTCTTTTTTATTATTTTGAATTTCATTCTACATTTTTCTCCCACTTTTCCTAGTATTTCCTATTGTAATCCCTTTTAAAGTGGGTGAGAATCGTGCTGGGCACCATCTAGTTCTTTTGATCTGAGGGTTGTGTAGGCTGAGGTTCACGAGGCCCACTACTCCCTTGGACTAATTGTTTCCATGCATCTTTGGTTTTCTTCACTCTTCTATGATCTGGATAAGGAGAAAGCAATGGTTGCACCTTAGATGGCTACTTACAAGCTTTTAAGGCTCTACTTGCTACTCACAAAAGTAATATGTAGAACATTGTCTCTGTGGACTATATTATGCCAATTGTTTGTCTCATGCAATATTTGGGACTAAAAAAATAATTTGTTGTTTATCTGAAATTCAAATTTAGCTGGATAATCTGTGTTTTATCTGGCAACCCTATTTAGAGAAAGCCTATCTGCTCTCTCACCATCATTTTTCCAGAATTTCCAAGGAATATTCTAATTTGGTTTAGGTTATAATGTTAAAATCACTGCATGTAGCATAGTTAGTATATGTCATGCTTTTTTTCCAGAAGACTAGTATTTGGGGGTGTGCAAAGTATAATTAATTGCCTGATTCTTTTTAAATACATTTTTTATTTTTATTAAGGAAACACCTGACTTATAATGTCCTACATTTTTCAGTTTTTACTTTACTTAAGCATGGGTTGTAGAAAAGAGAATATCAAAATTATAGTCTTAAAAGATGATAATGCAGACTTTTTTGAGATTTTATTCATGCCAAAATGGATATAAATCCAACATTAAAGTCTACATGGAAACCAAAAATTACTTACTATAATTACTGTATATACAATGTCTGATTACAAAGAGAAATAATTAAAAAGACAAGTAACAACAAGAGAAATTTTTGTCATAGATAACCTCAATATATTTTAAAAATCCATTATGAAAATAAATGTGATCATGTATATTCCTTAGATTCACTTAGGGCGAAAATATGTGTGTGTGTGTGTGTGTGCATGTGTGTTTTATTTGTAATGATCTCCTTTAGAAATCTGCTAATCACTTTATACATATATGTGTGTGTGTGTGTATGGATATATGTATATATGTGTACCTGCGCACACATAATTTAGCTTTAACTTCCTTCTTTGCTATCTCTTTCTATATCCATTTTCATGAAATGAAAGAAAAAAAATTCAGTCTTATATGCTTGAGAGAAATGATGCCTTTGCTTTCATCTAGAAAGTAGGAAATATGTAATGGATGTCATGCTTGTGGAGATACAAGAAAGACATTTAACTTTATAGAGGTTTTACTAACCAGGAAAGGTACTGTTATTCTTATGCCTGCTGAATTTTCTTGCTTTTAAGAAAATACAGTTTTCATTTTCATAGTTTATTCTCACCATATTTAGCTCTAATCTTCCACACTTGTCTGAGATAGAGATTTTGCAATATTTTTCAGTGGCCAACTATAATGTTTATCACTTCATTTTGCCAGAAAATTCCTCTTTATAGTCATTATTCTGTGGGTTAAATCTGGTTTCTTTGTTTATTTATTTATTTAATTAATTTTTATTTTGATTTGGGTGAAGGTTTACAGAGCAAATTCACTTTCTATACAGCAGCTCACGTACACTTTGTCTCATGATATTGACTGCAATCTCCCACAATGCAACAAGTCTCCTCCCACTTCCTCCCCATAGCCACCTCTTCCCTGTGTCTTTCCCTCCCATGCACTCCTGCCCCTTGAGCTGTCTCCCTGTGCATATACAGGGATCTCTCCAAGAATGTATCTACTTAATGTAATTGTTCAACTCCTATGCCTGTCTCTTGTTGGCTGGAAGCCACAGGAGTGGGTTCAATTCCAGACCTGAAAGGCAGCTAGGGGTCGTAGTCTCAGGGATTCAACCAGGCTCTTACAAACCTGCAAGCCTGATCCCTTTTAAGTTCCTTTGTGTCTTAGTAAAGGTGAAGTGTAATTGTGCTATAGCTTTATATGTATATATATATATATATATATATATATATATATATATATATATCTGATGATAATTGCTAACAGGAGAAAAATGTGACAATCTGCTTCTCTAAAATTTATAGCCTTGGAAACCCTACGGGGCAGTTCTTCTCTGTCCTATAGGGTCACTGTGAGTCACAATTGACTCGACAGCGATGGGTTTAGTTTTAGCAATGATTACTAGGAGTTGTTGTTGCTGTTGTTATATCCCATCAAGTCGGACCCAACTCACAGTGACCCCTCCTTGGGTTTCCGAGGCAGTATCACTACGGAAGTAGATTGCCTCATCTTCCTTCCGAGGAGTGGCTAGTGGGTTTGAACCGCCAGCTTTCTAATTAGCAGTCAAGTGCCTTAGGCACTATGCTACCAAAGCTCCCATTAGGAATTGTACAATATCATTAAAAGAGATGTTTTTAATTCTAAGACTGCAGTATTGTGGAGCACTCTGTATTTGTAGCCTTGCCTGAAAGAATGCCCTAGTTTATATTCTTTTAGTTCCTTTTTCATTAGTTGGAATTATGCAGTCAATGCAGAATATTTGGAATTGGTTTCTTTTTTTGGTAATTGCTCCTATTTTATCCTGTTTAATAATAGCATTCTCTTTTCCTCTTCAGCACAAACGTGCAGGTTTGTGATAGCCCTTTCCGTTGCACTGAAGAGGAAGCAAGATCATTAGCTGAATTGGTAAGGAGCAATTGTCCCAGTGCATCCTTTAATCTTATCAGTGCCATGGGGAAGTCTAGCAGAAATCCTGAAAGTCTAGTAGTGAAATGTGTCAAGTGTTTTTGGGAAGCATGAAGTTAAAAATACAGTATTAAAGTCTATTTCTTTTTTAATGTGGAGAATTTAAACCTTCTGAGACCTTAAAACTTAAAACTTAAACCTTAAATGACCTTAAACCTTTTAGCTGAATTTTTTTATTTTAATTTTGAAAATACTTTAATCATTTAAAACCTCATTTTATATGGTGCTGTTTTTCTTACCATCACTAATTCATTGTTCTTTATATTTATTTGCTCCCCTCTGTACCCATGAATTATCCTTGTTCCCATAAATTATCTACCATCTAGGTCTGAATTCAGACTGATCACTGGCACACACATGAATTTGGGGTCAAGGAAAGTGAATGCATAAGGCTTTTTTTCCTTGTGTTTATGTGTGTGTATGTGTTTTGTTTTGTTTCATTTCATTTGGCTGTCTCATTTTGCTAAGTTGTGAATCATAAGCTTTCTTTGGAGTTTTACATGCCTTTGAGTTTGGCTACTTTTTGGTTTTAGTGATAATACTGCTTGAAGGCAACTGGATTTATTGTTTAATTAATATTTGATTTGGAGACTACCAAATAAGAGAAAGGAGCCCTGGTTGTACAATGGTTAATCACTCAGCTGCTAACCAAAAAGGCACCAGTTTGAACCCACCAGCCACTCCTTGGGAGAAAGATGTGGCTATCAGCTACCTTAAAGATTACAGCCTTGGAAACCCTATGGGGCATTTCTACTTTGTCCTATAGGGTCACTATGAGTTAGTATCAACTAGCCAGTAAACATCTATAACAAATAAGAAAATTCATATTCAGATGATTAAATGATACTGTTGTGTAGAATGTGCTCAGGAGTGATCATAGGCTAGAAATCCCATTTAGAAATCAAGGTTCTTTTTTTTTTTAAAAAAAAAACTTGTTAAGAAATCGAAACTAATGGAATTAGATCTTTAGAGCAACAAAAATGTCTGTTCACTACAGATGCTTTGTGTTTCTTTCTTTTCACTAATTTAGCAGCTTGTTAACTAGTGCCTACTGTGGTAGAATTCTAGGTTCTGGGATACAGTATTAAAGAATCTGTAGTATGTGGAATTTCACCATTATAAATTTGTGAAGTCACAGAATTTCTCTGTTAGTAGCCTCATCAGTAATTCAGAAATCTTAAGAGTCCAGATTGGGTCACATTTTCTTGGGGAAAGTTTATCAACTTGTAATGACAAATTCTTTGTCACCAAAGTATTATACTCCTTTATGTTTCATCTCTTCAGAACCATATCAGGATGTTTGAGTTAGAAATATTTACATGTATAGTTTCAGGCCTCTCTTGCTATATATTGAACATTGCACTATCTTAAGTGTACTATCAATTTTCATTTGTCCTTTGGTCGTTTGTTCAAATAACCTAAAATACTAAAGTTATATATTAAATATTGTCAATCCTGACTACATTCCTGTGCTTGTATGGAAACAATGAATTATGTTGTTGTTGTTACTGTTAGTAAGATTTCTTACTAACTTAAAATGAGTGAAATTCAATAGAGATGTGGCATGGATCCAAGTAATATTAACTTGATTCTGACTGGTGGATGTTAAATGAGTCTGAAGTATAGTCAAAACAAGACTAGATGTGAATTGATATTGTTAGTTCCCATTGAGTTGATTCCAACTCATGGCAACTCCATGTGTGCAAAGTAGAGCTATATAATTAGAGTTTACAAGGCTGTGTTACAAGGCTTACCTTTTAGAAGCAGATAGCCAGGCCTGTCTGCTAAGATGCATCTGGATGAGTTCAAACCACAAGACTTTTGGCTAGTAGTAGAATGCTTAACTGTTTGTGTCACCCACATCTATATTGATAAACTACTCAAATGAGTTATTAGGTGAGATTTTAAGATAAGGTAACTGCTTTTCTAAGGGAGTAGTTTTTAAATACACAAAGGAAAGAAACAGACTACTTTTGAGTGATTAATGGAACTGTTGCAGGATACATGTACTGGTAAGCATATATTGATCAAAACATGTGTAAATCTAGCATTTAAGCCAAAAGCATTAAGTAATCACTCAATGATATATGAAGATAAATTAAGAAAAATATTGTTGCTAAAACCAAGAAAAATAAAAGTCAACAAACCAATGACTCTCCTCAGGAAGCACTCCAGAAACAAAGTAGAAGATATCTATTGAAGTAATTTATCATACTTAGGTTAGAGATCTTAAGAAGGATAATAGTTCTAGGGAAGATATGAAAAAGAGAATTGAAATAATCAGAAGGACTATTGGAATTTGCTTATAAATATAGATATTTGAATTGCATACAGTCATGAAAAGCACAGCTATATCAAAAACAAGTTTTATTCATTATATCCTAACACAGGAGGGATCTATAGGAAGCAGAGTGCACTGCTCTTTCATTCTGAGTGTCTGGGCTACAGCATGTGGCCATGGCAACCAGAGCATCACTCTGTAAATGGTTGACTCAAAGGACCACCCAAATAAACATTTTTGGAGTATTGTATCAAGTTTTTTTTTTTTCTTTTTAATCTTTATCCAACTTTATAATGAAAAGATATAAGATTCTTTCCTAAATTTTGAGAAGAACTTGATGACTAACAATTGGTATGTTATTTCAGGGAGTACAGTTCAATGCATTTATATGAAACAAAGGTTGTATGTGTGTGTTTGTTGTATATATATTATGTGTTTTGCCTTTCATGTCTAATATTAGTTGATACTCTAAAGATATTTGAGTATGAAGATTTAAGATGTTACTTTTAGAAGACTTTACTGTTCTTAAATGTTATTTTGAAAATGTATTGAGAAAATAGAAATAACAAAATTTACAAGCTTAGTAAACTAAAGAAAAATTGATGCCTTTGAATTATGATGTTGGTGATGAATATTGAATATACCATGGAACAAACATCTGTCTTGGAAGAAGTACAGCTAGAATGTTCCTGAGAAGGGTTGAGGTGAGACTTCATCTCATGTACTTTGGAAATGTTGTTAGGAGGAACCAGTCCCTGAAGAAGGACATCATGCTTGGTAAAGTAGAGCCTCAGCAAAAAAGAGGAAGACATGGAATGACCCAGTGACTGCAACAATGACCTCAAACATAGCAACTATTATGAGGATGGCACAGACACAGGCAGTGTTTCAGTCTGTTTTACATGGGCTCACTGTGAGTCAGCACTCATTAGGACCTAACAACAACAATGTGAGATTGATGATGAAATAGAGAAGGCACAAATAAAGCAAATGTAGAGTTCAAAAGAAGATAATAACTATGAATATTGACAAGTCAAATAGTTCTAAGAGAATATTATTAGAAACTTTCAGCTATATCTTTGTAAGCGCAAATGAATTGATAATTTTGTTTAAAATACAAATTACCAGTGTTAATGCAAGAATAAACAGAAAATCTGATAGACTTATACCAATTTGAAAGAAAATTATACAGGTGGCAGATTTCCTGATGTTAAAGAATTTAATCTTTTTTATCTGAATCTCAGTAGCTTTCACTGAACTTGACTGTTTGATCCTAAAATTTATATGGAATATTAAAGCAAAGGATCGAGAATAACCTAGAAAGATGAATAAATTTGAACAATTTAATAAAGCTTAATTTAAATAAAACAACTATAAGAAAAAAAAAAAACATTGCCATCAAGTCAATTCCAACTTTTAGTGACCCCATAGGATAGAGTAGAACTGCCCTATGGGGTTTCCAAGACTGCGGTCTTTATGGAAGTAGACTGCTACACCTTTCTGCCGTGGGTTCAAACCAGCAACCTTTCAGTTAGCAACTGAGGGCTTAATCATTGTGCCACCCATGGTTACTCCTTGTAAACAACAAAAGATACCATAAATTAAGTTAAAAAGATAAGCCATTGAATGGAAGAAGATAGATGCTGTTTTACTCCTCTATGCTGCTCTAACAGAAATACCACAGTTGGGTGGTTTGAACAAACAGGGATTTATTCTCTTACAGTTTTTTGTGAGACCTGACTCACAGCGACTCCTCCTTGGGTTTCCGAGGCAGTATCACTAAGGAAGCAGATTGCCCAAACTTCCTTCCAAGGAGTGGCTAGTGGGATTAAACCACTAGCCTTCTGGTTAGCAGTCAAGTGTCGTAGGCACTATGCTACCAGAGTGTAGGAGGCTAGAAATCTGAGTTCAAAGTGCTGGCTCTAGGAGTTGGGTGAAGGCTCCTTGACCTTGGGCTTCAGCTTTACCTCTTGCTCCCAACCCACTGAAGCTGGAGGCTTCTCTTAACTCAGGCAGCTTCTGGCTGCTATGGCTGACAAACCCAAGGTTGACAAGTAAAATGGCACATTCTCAAAATTATCAAGCCAACATAGTAGGCCACTAATATAGTCCATTAACAGGCCCGAGATCAGCAGACAACATGGAAGGCCATTGAGATGAAGATTTGACCAAATGCAGGATCCAGATGTGCCAAAAGCTCAGAGACCTTTCTCAAAACTGCTTCTTATATACTGGAAGCAGACTACTCCTCTAAGGCAGCTACTCAGATGTTCACACATTCCACCATGGAGTTCATTACCAGTCTCATCATGGGGAATTACTATATCCAGCTGCCCAGCCACTAAAAACCAGGCCTAGACAATTTGACATATAACTTAACCACCACAGATGCATATAACCAACAAAAAGATTAGTTTCTATGATATCAAACCAGTCCAGGGAAATCTCAGCTTCCCTCCCTGGTCTGACCCCAGCTACCAGGCATTTCTCTCTCATCCCCATTCATCCAGCAGTCCTATAGTCTCTGTTTTTCTCATGTGTGAAATATATCATAATTTAAACAAAAATGCCCAAAGATATATTTAAGAATCTCTTTCCTTATCCCCCATAAACAAAAAATAATCATTTACTTAGTCAAAGAAACAGGAAAATATGACCC